ACCTCAGTAGGTCTGAGTCCGATCCCCAGTCAGGGAGTGACCCACATGGCACAGCAGATCTCTACTCTCTCCCTGCTGTGCCTCTCAGCAGTGTACCTCAGTAGATCTGCCCATTCTGCTCCCCACTCTGTCTCTAATGACTCCTCTCATGCGTCACACCTTGGCCTGTACCCCAGTTCTTGTATGCATAAATAAATAAATCTTTAAAAAAGAAAAAGGAAAAAGCCAAAAGCCAAAGATTCAGCCCACAGATGTTCACCACAGAGTTATTTATGAAAATAGAAACAAGGATGACCCAGACGACCATTAAGAGTAACACTTAGGAATGGTAATTAATGACAGGCAGGAAAATGTTAAGTGGTGTAATGTTAATTCAAAAGAAAAAAGCAAGATGCTGACTTGACTGTCCGATATCAGCTTAGCACTGTAAAAAATATGAATAGAAACAAGAAGCACTAGTGTGAGCAGAAGTAGCTGCAAGGGAGGATTCCCTTCTCCTGGAGACAGAGGTTGGCCCTGCACCAAGGCGACTGTCCTAATCAGTGACATCTGAATGTCCCAGTCAGAAATCACTCAGCTCAGTAACTGAGGAGGCAGAAGGGAGACGCACAACCCCAGGAGTCCTGGGATTTGGTTTAGGCTCCTGAGTCAAACTCTACAGATGTTTACTGAGAGACCTTGGCAACGTGTCGCCTCCCTGCGTGGGTGCCGAGCCAAATCCAGGCCCCAGCGCGGGCGCCCCAGTGAGCAGCAGAGCTTGGCTCGGGGCAAGGATTTGACGCGTTGATTCCATAGCTCGCGCTGCGATTAATGGCGCAGGAAGCTGTGCGGCTTCCTCAGCGTCTGAGACCACACCTAGGCGGGAAACGCGCCTCTTCCTCCCCTCCTAAAGGTGACACAGGGGGGCCCAGGGAGGTTCAGGGGTGGCACACCCTGCTCTGGGGGCCCCAGGCTTGGGACCGTGACCTGGTTCCAAGGAGCTGGCTCGAAGGGTCCCGCGCACCTGGAAGGCATCACGGTAGATTTCTATCCAGTGACACCAAGCGGTCCTCAAACTGCTAGTGAACTGTTGGCTTTTAGACGCTGCATGTTTTATTATTTATTTAAGGTTTAAAAAAAAAGAGAGAGGCATTGCATGGGGTCGGGGGGCGCCATCAGTAAGAGCTGTGCTAGGGGAAAGGGGAGCTAGAAGGCCCCCGCTGAAGCCCTGGGCGCATCCAGGGTGACCTGCTGAGCGTGTCACCACGGTCCCCCAGGGTAGCTCCGCCCCGGAACCCCCCAGCCCGCCCACGCCCCTGAATTCCCAAGCTCCAGGATGTCCCGGAAGCTTCTTCCCCCCACGGCCCAGTCCAGCCGCTTGGGGTCTTTCCTCATGACCCTCATGGGTGCCCCGTCTCCTGACGACCTCCTGCCCCTGCGCTGCTCCCCAACTTGGCTCCTGTCGTGGTGTAGGCAGAAAATGGGCGCTGGGTGGCCCGTGGATCCACAGGGGAGGCCGTGTTTGGGAAGCCACCCCCGGGAGCCCCGCAGGCCAGCTCAGAGGACGGCCGGACACTGTCCCCCCCCCCTGGGGCCGCAGGTCGCCGGCAGGTCCCCATGACTCCGTCGCGCCCACTCCCCTGCCTTGACCCTCCACATCCCTCCTCTCTACACATCCCGCGGGGATGTGCAACTACAAGAGAAACTCCGAGTCCAAAACCCTGCAGTAGAGACCCACGGTCTCCCGCAGTGTGGACCCAGGACATGTGGGTTTGAATTCAGAGTCTACCCGTGGATCTCGGCTGGCGGCCTCTGTGCCTCGGTGTCCTGCTCTGTACAGCAGCGGCCCCTCATGGGGTGTTGCGAGATCCCGCAGGTCTCCGAGTGTGCAGCTCGGCCGTGTGTGCAGAGACGACCCACGGTCAGCGGTGTGCGCGTTCAGACTCGGCCTCTGCCCCGTTCCCGCAGACGCCCCCACTTCCAGAACTCACCATCCCGCAGACGCTGTGGACAGAGGCGCCCCCCGAGAGCGCTCTCAGTGCACAGCCGGATAAGTCTCCCCCGCACCCCTTTCAGTGACTTCCCCTTGCCACCCAGGATGCGCGTCCTCCCTGTCACTGTTGCGCCCAGATCCAGATCGTTGTCTGCCTGTAAATAGGCGCCTTCCCCAGAGACACGCTCCCAGCCCGACAGCGCCGCCTCTGGCGGGTCCGCTGAAGTGTTTGCGGGTGGTAAGGGCGGCGGGGAGGGGGTCCGTCGGTTGGGCTCGATATCTGCTGCGCCCCCAAGACACCAGGCTCCTTCGAGGTGTTTCCCTTCTTCACTTGGGCGAGGAAGCGAGGTGCAAGAAGGGAAGAAGCTCTCCATTTTGGTAATATTTTATTTTAATGGTCAAACATTAATATTCTCCCAACCATCATCTCATGGTTTTCTTAGGCTATCATTTGAAAGGAATAAACAGATCCCTTCGATTTTATTATTCGAGAATATCGCCATTCCGGTTTATAGATAGTCACTGTATATAAATTTTAACTTCCGACTCATCTTTTTTCTCTTAGCAAATCATTTCTGTTGCCATTAAGTGAAGCAGTTAGAGGAACATGAAATCAGACTTACCAAGTCCAAGAAAGCCAGCGAAGAGAAAAGATAATGAAAATAATTTGATGACCGTGGCAAGCCAGGGGACACATCAGGGCCTCCGGAAAAAGCAGGGAGGACAATGTCCAGGTTTTTTGTGTAATTGCCACTTCTGACTCTAGCCTGGGAAGCAGAGCTCCGGCCTCCTGGTGAGCCCCGGCCTCCTGGTGTGCCCCAGGGGCAGGCCCCCGGCCCCCTGCGGGGCTGAGCATGCCCGTCCGCACAGAAGCGGACTCTGCCGTACAGCCAGCCAGACGGTCCACCATCAGAGCAGTCAGCAGTGCCGTTCCTAGCCGCGGAGAAACGACGGCATACACGGTGACTGATTGTCGCTGTGAGTTTAAGAAGACCGGGTGTGCTTACCTGAGGTCAGGGCTCCAGGTCGAATGGAAAATAAAAACTCAAGGTCATCAACCTGTTTTTCTACATGTTGTCCAAGCAGCTGCTTAATCACCCCTTTGCTTTCAAACAGTAGGGTTTTTTTAATAATATAATAGTTTCTTTTTACATCACTTTGTGCCTTTTTCCATCTCAGTTGCAATCCCCTTGGGCTTCCCATAGCCGTCACCATAGTCCAGGGCACTTTCCTCCCCCCCACCATTTTTGATCCCTTTCCCCACTGCACCCCCGTAACGTGTCTCTGGTCTATAGCTGTTCATCATTATTATTATTTTCTCCCCTGGTCCTTTATGCTCCTGCTATGAGTGAAACCATGTGGTTCTTTTCCTTTTCTTTCTGGAAAGAGGTCTCAGCAAGCCAGAGAGGCAGCCAGGTCTGCGTTTTGGAACATTGTCTCGGCAGAGGGATGCTGGGTTCAGACGACAGCCCAGAAGCAGGGGCCGCTGTTCATGCACTCATTTACTGGACAAGCGTTTATTACACTCAGGCATTATTCTAGATATCGGGGAGAAAGTGGCAAAAAATAGGAACAAAATTCTTGCTCTTATAGAACTTTCATGTGAGCTGGAGAAGACAATGAACAAGTCAAGTGCAATATGTAATGTGTTGGCCTGTGTTGCTGGGTAAGAACTTTCATGAGGGAAAAATACGGCCACAACTGGAAGGCCTGGCCAGGGGCTGCACCTAAGTCCACTCTGCTTCTAGTGAGGAAGTCACAGAAATAACCGCTCTGACGATGACCTCTGAGCGCAGGCCTCCGGGGCTCACGTGCAGACGACTGGGGGATGAGCATCCTAGACAGGAGACCGGTGCGTGCTGGGGCAGGAGCACTCTGCAGACCCAGCAGGGAGGCCATTGTGGGCCGGCGAGGGGCGACGAGAACAGCGAGAGTTTGTGTCGAAGATGAAAGCGGACGCCCGGGCAGAGCCTGAGTGAGTGAGGCCAGAAGCTGCTGGGAGGTTCTGGTAGGAATCGCGCTGACTGGCGTATGGAGAGGAGACCCGTGTTGAGAAGCGCGGCGGTCACTACGGAGGCCAACAGTAATCTGGGCAGAGGAAGATGGCGGCCTGGCCCCAGGGGAGGGAGAAAGGGGAAATGGAGGTGATGAAAGGCAGCAAGATTCGAAGCCTATGTTGAAGAAAGAGCCACACAGTTCGCTGGCAGATACTGCGTGTGATAATCTAGGAAGAGGGCAGTTGGGCTTTTGACAGAAGTAACCAGAAGGATGGACGAGGCGGCCGTTAACTGAAATGCAGAAAGCTGTGCAGTGTTGTAGGGGAGGGCGGGAGGGCGAGGGTCCGGTCTTGCAGGGTTTGTGTCTGAGGTGCCCCTTTCATGAGGAGTGGTTAAGGGTGTCGCCTGGAGAGCCCGCCCAGCCAGCGTCCAGGAGTCCAGGCAGAAGCGGTGAGGCTCTGTGATGGCTGCACGGCCCTGGCGTGGCATCGCCAGTGGGCAGATGCCGGGCCAGGACCTACATGAGGCTGCCTTAGCCGAGCATCCACAGGGCCTTCAGGTCCCGGGGCGATGGAGGTGGGCAGTGTGTGGACGGGACACATGCAGGGCCTGCAAGCCGGCCGTGCTCGCTTGAAACGTCACAGGCAAAGGAATGTCGGACGCTGGGGGTAAAACTCGGGAGCAGCCGAGGTCTGTGGGCTTTGTTCAGAAAGCAGAAATGGGAGCTGCGCTTAGTTCTTGGTTACTCTGAGACGGGTTCTTCCAGCAACAGAAGCAGTTTTTACATGGCAAGTGTAAGCGAGAACCCCTGAGTCGGGAGGGGGTTCAGAAGCCACTGCACTGGCATACAATGTGTAGGAGAGAACTCTCTGGAAGGAGATCGCCAAATACTTAACAGTTGTTATCATCAAGTGGTGGAGTTTCTGGTGACTTTTTTTTTTTTTCTGTTTATTACCTCGGCTTTAATTATCATGGTTTGCGTCACAACTGAAAATCAAAATAGCAGTTTGTTCCTCTCAAAGAAAAACCAAAAAGGCAGCTATAGTTTGTGAGGTGATTTACAGCCGTTCAGCCTCTTGCTCAGTAGCCAGCTCTGAGATGTCAGAAACTATTAGCAGACAGATTCCAACAGGAGTCGAAAAGGAGATGAAAAATGGATGCCTTAAAAATCATAAATAAGAAATAAAAGTCATGTTTGCTGTGCAGATTCATTAAGTGCAGGATCTGGAATATTCTATGAGTCTTTTTAAATATTCTTTGTCATTGCTGAGAAGTAAGAAGGGGAAGGAAAAAGAAGAGGTGGACAGGCAGTGTGTTCTGTGGGACCCAGGAAGCCTGAGCCCCCTTTAATTTGAGGCGCCTTGATGCAGTCGCTAACCTGGCTTAGGCTGCATTGCTTTGTTTTCCTGGTCTCAGTGAAGCCACCCCCAATCCCACACATTTATCTTTTGAAAATTGTGTTTATTTTTATTTCAAAGATGTACTTATTCATACAGAAGTGGGGTACAAGGCAGAGGTGCAGGGGCGGTGAGAGGATTCCCCAGAGACAGAGCGGGGAGCAGAACAGGCAGATCGATGAAGTCCACTGCTGAGGGGAGCAGCGGGCGGGCAGGAGAGGTCTGCTGTGCCACATGGGTCACCTCCGGGGCAGGCGGGGATCGAACCCACACTGAAGAAGCTGCAGCCAGTTTGCAGTGCTGCGCCCTAACCCGTTGCGCCACCAGGGAGGGCCCAGGAAATTGTGTTTATTTTTTAAAAGATTTATTTTTTTATCTATTTATGCATATAGAACTGGGGTAAAGGCCAGAGGTGCGGGGGTGAGAGGGTTCACCCAGAGACAGAGTGGGCAGCAGAACAGGTGGATTGACAGAAGCCTCAGGAACCAGCCGCTGCGCCCTGTGGGTCACTCCCTGGCAGGATGGAACTCAGGCCGCAGTGGCTGGTGATAGCAGACTGAGGCTTGAATCCCACACCAGCAGGGAGGCGCTCCACCTTTCCTAAATCACGCTTATTTTGAAGGCTTGTGCTCTTGTGTGGCCAGTGCCATCCCGGGCGACGGCATGAGCCCACCCCTGCATCCTGCATTTATTCCAGACGATTGTGGGGCGTGGGGGGGGGGGGCTGCAGTCATCCCCCAGTCTGTAGTGCACATGTCCTCACTCTTCCTCCCCAGACCCAGTGGCCCTCTGTGTCATTTAAGCCGCTCACTGCCTTAGCTCGCCGCCCGCAGGTTGTAAACCGTGTGCGCGTGCAGTTAACCCTGAGAGACGCAGAGCCAGGCAGCCGGCGTGCGCTGCACTTCGAAGGAGCAGAGCTGACCGCGAGCCCAGGGCCTGGGTTGGGGCAGTGGCCAGCCGAGGGAGCCTGGAGCTGGGAAGTGACCGCATTTCCTGCCTGTCTCTCCACAGGGAACTTACAGATTCGGTATAACCTGGGCGGCACCAGGGAGCCATACAGCATCGACGTGGAGCACAGGAACATGGCGGGCGGGCAGCCCCACAGCGTCAACATCACCCGCCACGAGAGGACCGTCACCCTCAAGGTAGGCGCGGGGCCGCCGTCGGGCCCTGGCGTGACACCCCCGCGGCCTGTTCTGCTGGCGTGTCCCGGGAGGCGGCGGTTGTACTCGCTCCTAGAAATTCCTAGCGAGGAAAGTAGAAATCTACAGTCCTTGTGGGAGAGACGACAGGCCTGATGGGAAAGACGGGGCGTCATTCCGTCAGGAGAAGGGGAGTCCGTGTTTACGCTGCGCCTCCGGCCTCCTGATTTGAACAGCCAGCATCTATCTTTGTGCTGTTTTTATCCACTGTACCATCTCCTCGCTGTGTTCGGGACAGCTGAAGCTTTTCTGGCTTCCCAGCAAAGGTTATGTGGGTTTATCTGACCTACTTCCTTGGCTACTCCAACACCCCCTGAATAACTGTACGTTTTTTGTTTGTTTTTCTGAGTGGATGTTTTGCTTTAAAAATGCAAACAGCTCAGACCGTCTGTGGTAGATCTTGGCACGCGAAGGGGTGGTTTTGTTGTGACACCCGGTTTTTACTTCGGGTCCACCGACTGTCCCTTCCCACCCCCTAGTTGTACAACGAAGAAACCAGCCTGGGAGATCCCATGAATAAAACATAACGGAGGAGGTCTCCCTGGGAACAGAGCCAAAAGATCAAGAGTGGAAACTGTCACTGCGTGCTCTAGGAGGAGTTCAAAATAGATACCTGTCAGGGAAGGAACAGCAGGGGATGCTGTTTTGTCAGAGGAGTGTCACGGGCGGGGTTCAGCCTCACTCCCATGGGGCTGGCTGGGGCGGGGAGTTCAGGCTGCAGAGGAAAGATGCACTCCCTGCTCTCTTTAACCCCGGCAGATGTCAAATTCATAACTTGATGTGGAGGTCATGCTTGGCCTTCAGCAGGAAGTGCTAGAGGGCATTTGAAGGAGAGAGACTTTCCTCAGAAAATGACAAGGCGCAGGAACAGCTCGTTGTGCGACCATCACATGCAGGGTCTATAGTGTCCTCACCGCAAAGGGGAGCCCCCCCGCCCCCCCCCCCCCGGCCCAGCGTGGTGCCTGGCAAGCCAGCCCACCTCTAGTCGGAATGCCAGGGAGACGCAAAGCCAGCAGCTGCAGGGCAGGTCCAGGATTCCAGTGACTTCTGTGCCCTCTTATCTGCACTGTGCTCACTGACTTGGGATTGGAGACTTTCTCTTGTTTGAAACCACAACATCTCTTTTCTTAATTTTTTTTAAAAATTTATTCATTTATGCACATAGAACTGGGGCACAGCCAGAGGTATGAGGGTGAGAGGATTCACCAGAGATAGCGGGGAGCAGAACAGGCAAATTGACAAAGTACACTGCTGAGGGGAGCAGCGGGCGGGTCAGGAGAGGTCTGCGGGCCATGTGGGTCAGCTCCGAGGCGGGATCAAACCTGTGCTGCAGTGGCTTTGGGGAGCTTCATAATGCGGTGCTTTAACCTGTTGTGCCACCAGAGAGAGCCCCCGAAACCACAGCATCTTTTAAAGGAAGGGCCTCATCTTGCCATTTCAACATTGCAAAAAGGCTAGGAAGCATTAAAAGTAGCTTCAACGATTTTCTGTGAGCACAGGGGGCCCACAACACCATCAGAGTCTTGCAGAGTTAACCCAGAAGCGCTCCCCAGAACACCTGCTTTGTTAGGGGGAGCCCTGTGGGTGACGGAAACATACACAGATGAGATGGGGGAGTGGAAAGGAAGAACAGAGGGAGTGGGCTCAACCACTCCAGTCCTGTATTTATTTCTAAGAGGAGAGTCTGGAGGAAGCATGGGTTACCATCTCCCTTCTGGCCCATTTTCCCAACTGGGGGTTCCTTGGAACTAACAGAAGCTCTTTAAGAACAAACAGGTGCTGAATCAGAGTTGCTGTCAGCCGCAGGGAATCAGAGATTGTCCTGAGGAAGGGGAAGGGGCGGGCTGTTTTAAGAACTTGGCACTTGTGTGACAGGGAACACCAGAGAGACCTAGACAGCAGAGGTGCCCTAGACGGAGAACCCCATGGAGGGAGGGGGGCAGAGGAGGTGGGGGCACGTCTGATTTTGTTATTTAGTGTGGATTTGAGGAGTCTTTTATTTTAGTTTAGTTTTTGTTGTTGTTGTTGTTGTTGTTGTTGCAAATGACAGAAAACCAGCTCAGTTTTCTTTGGAGGGAGAAATCCTGGGGTGGGTCATAGAATTTAAGAAAGGGAAAGGTGAAATTATGGGCGAGAATCCAGAGCACCGGAGGGTTAAGCACAGACTAGACGGCCATGGAGCCCCCCGCAACGCCCCTCCTTCCTCCGGGCTACCTCTCCCCGCTCTCAGCTCACCGGACCCCTCACGGTGGCTCCGTCTTCCACACATGCAGGCAGGTGCTCAGGCTCCGGTCTTCGCCACTTTGCT